TCTCGTATACACGCGCGACCGCTCCAATACCACTCGTCTCTCTGTTTTCTCTAAGCTCGCTTTCCATTTCATCCCATTTCATCGGTGCAACTGTCGAAATCAAACTGCTCGCGAAACTGTCCGACCAGCACCACGAAAATTCCATCTACTTCTCTTAATCGGTACGTTCGAGCTCTTCTCGATCGTAAACACACTGTATCTAAATATAAGGAGGTCCTTGAATCTCGCGCGTGGATCGTTCGCCGAGTTCCCGACTGCCGCGTGTCCGACATTTTTGTTTCTCCCTCGATATTCATTCCTTTTCGCATTCAACAATTTCTTATATTCGTTATTCGAAAGAAACGCAACGATCGCGTGGAAATGGAAATTAAAGCGAAAGAAAAAGGAAAGGAATACAGGAAAACCGACACGATACGCGTGTACTATGTACAACGAATGGTTTAGCTTTTCGTCGAAAATGATTGCGTAACCGGGTGCTGCGCGAAACAAACGACGAGCGATCAACTCCGAATCGGTCCGAGACTAGCGGGATTCGAGAACGATTCGAGCGCGTCTCCAGCGAACGAGAAGGGAACGAGAAAGAAAGGGGACGAGGCTCGAACAAGACGAGGGAGGATCAACGGAAGAATAGAAAGAGGGATGAAAGAATATCGCGGCTCGGGGAACGGAAATCAGTCTAGTCGGAATTGCGCAATACCTCTATTTTCGTGTTTACATGGCCACCGCTTGGCTTTGTTCCCAAATTGGGAATATCGTTTAGAGTCGAAACTTTAGATGACTCTCTGGCCTATCGGTTCGTTGTTCCATCGCGGACACAACGTGCTCCTTTCTTCGAATCTCTCCGCCTACATTCTCTCTTACGACACGACACGCACGCTCGTTGATCGCGCGACGCGCTAACGTTATTACGCTTTACAGCTTTTCTCGGATACTCGTCGTTCGAGGAATCGCGCTGCGGATCCTATCGGCGGAAACCTCTTCGAACTCCACCTCTGCAACGTCTCGTCGCGATCGTTCGCGACTCGAACTCGATGGGAATTCGCGTAAATTGCTGCCGACGCGTGCCCACCCTATTTTTAATAGCTCTACATCCTACATATAACCGTACATCTGTTTCTGCACCTACGGGATGCTCCGAGTCGCGCTTCGCGTTCGTTCGTTTCCACACTTTGCTTTCCCCCTTCTTTTCACTTGTGTATCGTCGCATGCCTCTTTTTCACATTTCTCACATCCTTCACATTTTCTTTTCACATTTCCAAACTCGCGACCATACGAGTCGGTAGACCGAATAGTCCGAATAGTCCGAACAGTCGGAAATAAATGACCGAGCACCGGATCGAGTGGTCGACGGTGATGGTGTCGCGTGGCGAGCAAAATATCGCACAAAAGTTCGAACCTTTCTCGATGGTTTTTCAGTCCACCGACGTTCAAAACTGCGACGTCCACCTCGCGCACGCAATTGAAACTTCAGCTGATGCGAGAGCAACTGCAGGAACAAGAAAGACGGGAGGCAGAATTTCGTCAGAGCTTGCAGCACCAGAGACCGGCAGCTGCTCTACCCAGACCCGTACCCCCCACGTCCCTTTCAACCATTGGGGTGGACGTGCCGCCGCAAGTCTTGCAAGTACGTCCTTTTTTTCTCATTCGTCTTTTCTTTCCCTGCCCAACCCTCTTGCCTCTATCTGTTTCTCCACATTTATTTCAATGCCAACGAGTAAATCACCTCGATGAAAGTTACGAGATAACCAGACCGATATAGAAGCTCGTTTATACGCTTATTCGTATATTTTGTACATTCTGTACATTTTGTACATTTTGTGTTTACCATTTACGCTCTTCCGCTTTCCGCTGCAGCAACGTCAAACCCATGTGTACGCGTGCGTAGACACTAGAAACCGTCGTCGTCAAATTTCGAATAACGAAGGATGTGCAAGGTAATACGCGCAATGTTCAACGTTCAACTTGCGTTTACAGGTAGTCCTAAATAGATGGAACTAGAATGGTACGCGTATAGAAAAAGTACACGATACGATAGACGATTCGTAAGCTGGTGTAATACCGATGCCTTTCTTTTCAGGTACGGACATTGTTGGAGAATCCGACGCGCTACCATGTCGTTCAAAAGCAAAAGAATCAGGTGCGACAATATCTGCACGAATCGTTCCGTGGCGGCACAGACGGTTGCGCCGAGACTGAAAACCTTCTCGGAAAAAGTTCGATCGAGACCGTACCGTCGTCCGTTCCAATGGTTGTCCATAGCGCGCCGCCGGGACCAGCGGTTCACCATCCGAAACCGCAGCATCCTCATTTGGCATCGTATCCACACCCACAACCGCAACCGCAACCGCAACTGCAACATCAACCACAGCCGCAACCACAGTCACGGTCACAGCTGCAATCGCAACCGCAACCGCAAACGCAGCCGCAAACGCAACAACAACAGCAGCAGCAGCAGCAGCAGCAGCAGCAGCAGCAGCAGCAACAGCAACAGCAACAGCAACAGCAACAGCAACAGCAACACCAACTTCCTCCGTCCGTGTTATCGCACGGCAATTCTGTTACGGCTAGTCCAGACCCTACGTCCGGCGCCATGTCGCCGGGTCTCTCCAGCGTCGCCACTAGCAATTCCGAGGTAACGTAAACTGTGTGTATACGCAACTTTGTCTTCCCTCACAGAGACAACCGCGTCCCTCTTGATCTTTTCTTTGGAGCTTTTCCCTTATCGACAGAGCGGATGCGATAAAACTGTCAACGAAACCGCCCGCGTTCGGTTCGCAATTATTTCGATTGCCGATCATCAGTCGACCCGGACAACTGTACGATCCGACATTCTTACCTTTGCAACTTTGTTCGAGGATTCCAATCTTCTTTGCCCTCGATTGAAGGTTTCGGTTAGTTAGGTTACACGCGACCATTGCCGTACGCCGCGTGTATCAAGATCCCATCGCACAACCCACTTAACGGAGAAACCACCTCCGTTATCGCAATCGGATACCCGAATACATACAGATGCGCGCACCTCGCGCCGAACGTCCTCTACGAGACTGGAATTTCTAATGCAATTGGGAAGTCAAAAGAGAAATTGAACGAGCAAACGCAAACGTAACAGGGGGACTTTGAGAAGAACGTTACGGGAAACGAAACGCCGATGGAAAGAAACGGTAAATTGAATATTTCTCCGGAGAAGAGAAATGTTTCTCGGCCAATTTGGCCGGCACCTACGTGATTCGATCGTGATCGCGGTCGTACGACGAATCGACGAATCGGCGTGTCGTCTCTCGTCTCTCGCTGCTCGTCGCGCTTCCCATTGCGTCGCGTTGCGTCGGCAAGAAACGACATGCCTGTGACGCGAACGCGACTGTGACGGATAAGCGGACAGAGTGTTCGTACAATGGGTGGGGTCGTTCGACGGGTGGCGGGTAGAAACGGGTCGTTCAGAGACGATAGCGGAAACCGGGCGTGGGGCATCGAGCTCGTGGCGCGTGGCGCGTGGCCCGCATCGCGTATTCGAGTGGTAGCGAGCAATACCGAAACGTGCCGATCGACGTTCGGCCTTCCGATTTTCCTGCCTCGGAATTTTACCGGCGACGTTTCTATCGGCGACAATTTGTCTTTTCGTTGCAAATAGTTTCCCGCGTTTCTTCGTTTCGTCGTGTCTTTGTTTCTTTCTCTTACCTGGAAAGGCTCGTGCGCGCGAGGACGCGCGCGCCTTTTAAATCGGCCAGCGGGCCGTGCGATCCATGTCGCGATCGATGTCGCGATCGATGTCGCGATCCATGGCAGTGGCATCCGGCGACAGCGAGCAGACGTGGATACTCTGACAAAAAGAATCTGTGGGTCCTATCGGCAACGTCGTGCTTACTTGTGACCAAAGAAACCGAGTTTTCCGGTTAGTGAATCGGTGGTTGTCTCGACGAGGAATGGTGCACGACAAACTGGTCTAGCAATGAACCGATAAACCAACGACGTAACAACGCGACGAACCACGAGCACGGAATTTCCGCAACGAGCTGTTGACTTTTCGCTCGCTGTTTGTACGGCGAAAACTGTTCTCTGTCGGACAACGGACAGATTCGCGATCATGTTTTCTCCGTTGAGTGGTGCCGATCTGTTCTTTGCTCGTAGTCTTTCCGTTCCTGACTGTTCGATCGTTTAACGCGTTCTCCTTCTCGCTCCGCGTCTCCGCTCGGAGGAGATTGGCAGATACGTTATTGGGTAACCGCAACCTTGAGGTGCTTAATCGTAGGTAGGTAGCCGAGTCGCGACAGAGCCGCGGCACGAGAAGAAAACGCAAGGTTGCCGCGAACGAACGTCGTATCGGCACACACCGTTGCCTCCGAAAAATGCGCGCGGCACTCGCCTGAGTATTCCCGAACCCGATTCCAATCTCGATTCCGATCCGCATTTCGACCGCCCTTCGAGCCGCATTCGCTCGACCTACCTTTATTCCGAAAGTGCCATTCGTTTCCAGTTTTTCATTACCGACAACGGCTTATCTCTCGAATGATATGCTCGCTTCCGGCGAATTCGTCGATTCGTTCGGGACATCGGTTATTTCCTCTTTGAACGGTTTCGGTTTCGGTTTCGGTTTCGGTTTCGGATTCGGTTTCGATTTCCTCCTTCGCTACCTTTCGACCGAGGCGTCACTTTCGATTTCGCGCAATTCGCTTTTCCGCGTATCGCGCGCCGCGATTCCTCCGCCGGCCGAGAACAAGCGTGTCCGCCGCGTGGGAAAAGTCAATGTTCAACGAAATGCTCGATGGTCCGATCACTCTTCGTGGCAGTCGAGTTCATCGAGGGAAAAACGAAAAAGAGAAATTCTGAAGCTTCCGATGTACGGTGGGATCGATCGCAATTAGCACTGGAGCGTTCCGCTTCGGTTCCGGAAGAGGACACCGTGACAGCCGCTCAGTCAATTTCCAAAGAAACTACTCGATTCCACCGTTCGTCCATACCCACGCCTACATCCACGCCTACGTACGTCGTTGTACCGGACTATCTGCGACAGAACCGTTTCAATTTTATTTTCATTTCACCTACTTTGCTGCTGTCGCCGATCTTTCGATAAGATGCCAGTATTCAGTATAATAGCCCGAAGGTGCAAGGTGAGTTTTCCGTTTTACGATTCGAATTCAAAGTTGCCCGACAAACGGTCTTTATTATGATTTCCATTAGCGCTACTAGCATCGCATCGCTACTTTTCACGTTTCTACATCGACATCTACTTGTACTTTTGCTTGTATTTTCGATCCCGCTACTATCGCCATCCTATTCTTGTCCAATAATATATCGAGTCAGCTGTACGATGCAAGTCGGACAGGTGTTCCATGATCCTAATTCGACGAGTAGCGAAGACGAGCGCGTTCATTTGTTCGGACAAGTAGGTATGCGTTGGGTGTGGATAGATTCGATCGCGTAACAGTATCCGATCTTGATTCACAGCATGCAGCGAGCTCGTAATTCGTTTACGCCGCGCGATCGGGCAGCGGCTCGTACGATGGAAACGATCGTGTTTTCGATCGAGCTACCGTCCAACTTTCCGATACCAGAAACGCTCCCGGACTATCGCTCGAGAAAAAATGTTTCGCGAGATAGCAGATACGAATCTAGATCCTCGCGATAACCGCTTATCTCTGTAAAAACCAGAAATTCGTTCGAGCTAAAAGACGCACCGAGAAAATTACGTAAAGTCGATTCACTTTGTACGGAAAGGAGACGCGGTACCCCGTCGACCATTGTAGAAGCAATGAAAGCGCGACAACGCAAACAAGAAAAATCGTTGCTCGTCGGTTAAGCCGCTCGCACTCGCGCTGCTCCCAGAGTCAACAGTTCTGCTCGAGTTACATTGCCGAGAGTTCGCTTCGCGACGCGACGCGACGCGACGCGACGCGACGAGACGAGACGCGGCGAGACGCGGCGAGACGCGCCGAGACGCGACCAACACGCGTTATCGTCAAGATGTCTCGGCTAATCGGAAACATTCGTGTTGGAAATTATAGCGGCCGCGTTCCACCGCTCGACTACACCGACTCCATCTCCTCCCTACGAGTCAATATACCATCGCCGCGTCCTGTCGTGTACACTTGCTCGCTTCGATAACGAACAAACTTGAATCCACGTTTACTCGTTCTCATTTGCGTTCTTCTTCTTCTCTACGGACCAAATTCGATCTCGTTTACAGTTGTAACCGTGCCCAGCGAATTTCTCCTCCGATCCTTCTTATTCTTCTTTCTTTTCTCTCTGCTTCTTCTCTGTTTTCTTCGTTTATTCGATCGTTGCGTTTGTGCCAACACATTCGAGGATTCAAAAGGAGATTGTATACTATGGAAAATCTAGTCACTTTTGTCGGGGGAAAAGACGATGGAGCGTTTAGGTTCGCGTTTGCAGCGAGCGCAGTTCCTTTCTCAGTTTCTTGTCTCGTTCTTTCCGTCTTTTCCGTCTTTTCCGTCTTTTCCGTCTTTTCCGTCTTTTCCGTATTCTTCCTGTTCATTCTCGCTCCATCTGTTCTTATGCCGCCTGTTGCCTCTACCGTAGCTCTGCATCCACGTATTCTTCCATGGCCGGGCCTCGGTTATTGTTGTTACGTAATATTTACGTAACATACATGTACGCAACTGAACAGCCATAAGCGCTATATTCAACACGCGCGCGTTAATCTCGCTCCGTATTTCCCCTCGTGGTTCTGTTCCGTTCTGTTCCGTTCCTCATCCTCCGATATACTCTTCCCGTCCACACTCTCTTTCCTTCTCCTCCTCCTGCTCTCCTCTCAGTCTCTCTTTCTCTCTGATATTTCATAGCTTCGCGTGTCCTTGCTATCCGTTTCCCTTGTTTCGTAACCAGCTCTCGGTTGGGCAACGAGAAAAACAATGAAACGGTCCACCGGAGACCCATACTCGCGGCAAATCGGTAGGACTGTTTGGTAGATTTTCAAAACTATTTCACGGAATTAATGATTAAAGCGATAGCACGTTATTTACAACTGGCTAGACAAACGCGAATGAGAACGCGCGCAACGTCATCTGTGGTTTCAGCCACGCTTCGGTACGATTAGAGCTCGACTCTCTTTCTCGGTCTCCCTTTCCTTCGTTTTTCCCTGTATCATTCAGATTTTCTCCGTCGCATTGTTACGCGAACGCACTGTACTTGGTGATTACAGGCGGAGGACCTTCTCGACGATATCCTGTCGTTCGAGGGTGGTTCGTTGGGCGACAGTCTGAAAGACGGCCAACCGGGAAGTCTGAGCAATATTCCCGAGCTAGAGATTAAACCGGAGCCTCTATTGCTCACCGAGGCGGAGATTCACGCCCTCGCGAAAGATCGACAGAAAAAAGATAACCACAACATGAGTAAGTATTTACAACTGTGCGGATCGCATGGTAAATCCTACATCGTACCGTTACAATTATACGCATTCTCTACGCATGCAGAATATATTTCACTTGATTTTTCGAGCGAAATGCGGCGTTTCGCAGCCCGCGATAATCCTGATTACGATTTACAGTTGAGAGGCGACGACGTTTCAACATCAACGATAGAATCAAAGAACTCGGCACTCTTCTGCCTAAAACCAACGACCCGTGAGTACCTCTTTCCTCCACCGGATAGATTTATCCTATTTGACGTAGAACCGTTCGATATGAAAACTTTGAGTAATTTCACTCGATCGACTCGCGCGTTTCAGGTATTACGAAATCGTTCGCGATGTCAGACCGAACAAGGGCACGATCCTGAAATCGTCGGTCGAATACATCAAACTTTTGAAAACCGAAGTACTGCGAATGAAGCAGCACGAGCTGAGACACAAGCAACTGGAGCATCAGAATCGTCGATTGCTCCTACGAGTACAAGAATTGGAACTTCAGGCGAAGGCGCACGGGTTACCAGTTTCCAACTTCAATTGGGCCTCGAATTCTACCAGTATGCTGAACGCCTTCTCTCGAAGCAAGCTGGAGCATCGTAAGGTATGCGCTGCTCGAATACTCCAGCGACGCTGAGAGCAAGTTTCGAGTGCTCGAGGTTACACGCCGATCGTTTCACAAACCTTGTTCCGAGCTAACCAAGACCTACTTACGTCTATTTTGCTAATGCGACTAGCGTCACCGTTCCCCTCAGCATGGCCGTTCTTACAATTTCTCCAGAATCATCGACCGCCGCCTCGGGCTTGGTTGCCCTTTCTTACCCTTCCTTACCGTTTACCCGTTCCCCGGTTCCTCTTCCGTACGCGTGCCGCGATACACTTCACTCGCACATTATTCCGTCCATCTAACGGACAGACGTCGTTCATTCGATAGATTCCGGACCTAGTCGCGGAAGAGGCGACGAGTTTGAGCATGTCGCAGCTCGACGATCTAATGGAGGACGACGCGACCGGTCCGATTCACAGCGGCGATCCGATGCTGTCTTCGCCGCATCTTCCACCTTTAAGTCCACCGGCCACGGGGTGTCAGCACGCCCTACCGGACGAAGATACCCTCGGCAGT